AAATACAATTCCATAAAGCTTCTCTTTTTTGTTCGATTGTCCCATTTATTGGATCCGATCTTACTTCAATATGTTCGTAATTTCTTTTGAATTGAAAGTGACTTTTTTCAGCCATCACAGCAGTGGAAACCGCTCAGCGATTGCGACGATATATAATTTGGAACCTTATTAGCTTGCTTGCAATACTGATTTATCAAGAACTTATTTAACTTGTTTCGAACCGGTAATCACGGATCAGTGAGCTCAGCGTTTACAATCAAGCCAGGTCAGGCGTACCTCTTAGTGTCCATTAATGAATTGATTATTCGGTCTGTGTAAAACGCAGACTGCGGACCAGGGGTAAAATGCAGACTGAGTGTAAAATGCAGAATGAGAGTAAAACGCAGGCCTGGTGCAAAATGCAGGTTGAGCATAAACTGTAGTCGCGGAAGGGTACGGGTTTAAGTCAAAATATTCCGCAAAAAAATGTAAACGATCACTTACTTGACATCTGCTTTCACAAATCCGTTCCTTTCTTCTCTGTAGCCTGTTCCTGGCGTTCAGATAGTAGAAGGCCTGAAACAGGCTATCTTCTCTGGAACGTCATCCATCTTGAACTCTTTACCCGACCGAGACACCTCACGCTTCAAATTTCATTACACGTGTCCAGGAATCAGGGTACAACACGACGACATTTACGCTCAAATAAAAGCTGCTGACCAAAATACTGTACAGAAGAAATAATAGCGTTAAAAAGGGAGTAAACCATTCCAACAACAAAGAAAGATGTTCTGCAGGAAATTTGGATGACTTTCTATCGAAAGTATTGCAAATCAAGGTACGCAGACTTAGCTGTTTGAATGTTTATTGAAACGTCCGGCGAATGTGCATCTCACTGAACAACAAAAGTGACCGTACACTGTGTAGCTGTGTACAATATATCAATAGAATGCAAGGTTCACTTCAAATATACCTGCAACTCGTCGTCCTCCATGTTTGTATCTTCCACGCCGAATGCCCAAAATCAGCCGAGTTGGTAGAATAAATGGTTTACACACAACATGCCTCTCACATGTGTTTCTTGTCAGGTCTCGTCAATCTCGTTCCCCGTTCCGCTGGACAACGTAACGTGGTTAACGAAGTCTGTGGGTTCCGGGAATAAAACCGATTTTTACATTGTTTTCTGCTTGACATTTCTCTTATTTCCCCCCTAATATGGTCCTTATTGTATTTTACCCCCAGCATGCATTTTACCCCAGGTCCGTAGTCTGCAGTCCACAGTCCACAGTCCGCAGTCCTCTTTTTACACTGGCCGATTTATTATTAGAAAGTTGAATCCGTTGGTAGTTGTAGATTTCAGAATCATCTCTGCATTCTTGCCTGCGTACTGAGCCGTGAATTCACACGCGTGGCAGTTACGAAATTTCTACCAGCTCAGTTCCCCTGAATTTGATGTAAACGTCTTTTAAGTAGACCAAATACCGAGAAGTTCTGCGAAGTGCCGATTTGAATTTGACACTAATAACGGGAACGACTAACGCCGGATTCATTTTTTAAATAATCAATTCATTAATTGAATCTTGAGGGGTACGCTTGACCTGCCTTGACTGCAATACTGGATAGCCTTAATTGACCTGCTATGATTCCAAACGTGCACAGACATGTTTTTAAATGACTAAGCTAAAATCCGTTGGCTGTTCACTACATGTCCACGATGAGCAAGCCATGGCTCTTCTATCCAGTAGCCATTTTACAGCCCAGTTTCTTCAGGCTTTTAATCGTCTGGACTGTTACACTGTATTCATTCAGTACCGCAGTCTGTAAATCAGACCGTCAGGGACAATGTTACAGAGTTTGTATTTTATGAACAGTATTTCTTAATTGTTCCCTTACGTGGGTTCCGAAACTCTTCATCTAATTATATAAATACACAGAATCGTTGGTGCCTCGGTAGTAGAGAGAACGCAGGCTAAAATATGCAGTTACAGTTCATCTTGCACAGTCGGGGTTTGGGGCGTATAAAAAAATACAGGAAATTTTTAAATTAGGTATAAGTACGACATATTTCACCGGAACACACATTATTTAGAGCGTGGTATGCCACGTTTTCTTTAGGTTTGGGTGTAGTAACACTTTTGGATGAAACGAATTTTCGGCGTGATATTGGCTAATATATGCTGCTTGGTATATATTTGAGATTTCATAAAATTATTGCATAATCATTGCTCTCTATGCAGTGTGATTCAGATCATTGACATTTCAGTATAAGGAGTTCCAAATGTTAAAAAATGATACAAACGGTTTAATCTAAGAAGCGTTCCTAAAATTTTTCAAAATAACCTTGTCATAACGTTTGGCCTTTTTATGATCCAGCCCTGAGTGAGAGAGGTCTTTCACCACAAGTAACCACAAGTAATTAAAGCTCTCTTCGTTGGAAACTTTTCGCAACCTTTAACGCATATAAAAACTTATTTTCAACGGCAGGGGGCATTTTACAGGACGCAGGACTGCCGCCAGCCGCCAAAAGACTCCAAAATATGATTTGATTGTTATATGATTGGTTATACCCTGTAATTAGATCACTTGATGTGGATCAACACATGTTGTGTTGTATCAGAATAAAACCGGCACTCGTGCGAAGTAGGTGGGTGTTCTCGATCTCTTGCTCATTACATGGTACTAGTAGTCCTTCACCAATAGGTTCGATCCTTTACTCCGAAGATAAAGTCAAAATAAAAGCAGAAATTGAAAGAATCAAACCTCCTCCAGAATCGGATATTGAGAGTCCCAACCTCGCAGACGAGTAGCAAGAATGGTCAGAAGCATGGGAGTTCTATCGAATATCGAGCGGACTCCATAAAAAACTCAGGGCAAATAACGACCATTCAGAGTATACTGAGAAAGAAGGCTGGGCGAGTCCTGAAAACATTACCGAATGTTCCAGTTGATTTCAAGGAGAGAACTGTGGCAGGTTTTTTGTCAGCTCTTGAGACGTACTGCGTCCGGCGTAGAAGCAAAATCTACGAACGGTACGTTTTCCGAACGACGTCACAGGAAGATCTCACAGTCGATGTATTTGTTACGGATCTCAGACGAAGAGCTGAATATTGCGAATTTGGAGAGTTAAAAGATTCCCTAGTCATCGAATCACATAGTGGTAGGCATTAACGATCCTAAACTGCGCGAGCGACTACTCCGTGAATCGGACTTATGACTTGAGAAGTCGATCAAGCTTTGTCGAATCACGGAGCAATCCAAGGAACAATCGAAAGTATTCGACGCGCCAATAGCTCAGGCTAGTAGTATTGAGACAGTAAAGAAAATACCATCAACAGTGGAAAGTGAGAGGGCAGAGGATAGGAAGAAGATAGTCAATGGCAAATTCTGTGGATCGGTCCATAACAGAGAAAACTGCCATGTCCTATACTACTACTTTTATAAGTGATTTAATGCACTCAAATGGCAAATTTCTGACCTTAGAAGAATTTCAAAATAAATTTTAAATTTGCATTATTTTCAATTTTATTGCTGCCATTCCTCCGTATTTGAAGCGGAAGGCATTTGATTCCCCCTCTCTCCTCTGCAGAAGCTCCGTAATCGAAAAATAGAAAGCGCGCGGGGGACGATGGGAAGAGGGTTTAGGCCCATCGTGTCCCGCGCGCTTTCTTTTTCTTTCTCATCAGCCTCCCTATGATACAAAGAGGCCTCTTCGGAGGAGGGAGTGATTCCCCGCTTCCTAATCTGATTAGTGCCACATTATAGTACTGTCAGATGGAAGATCGAACAATAGTCTTCACTAAATTGCGCTGTAAAAATTATTGCAATCTGTTCATCGAGAAACTTGCTCCTGAACCCTCCGAAATAAAGGCTTGGAAGAAAAGATTTTCAGCACTTCCTGATTGGAGTGATTGTTTCGCGGATATATGTGTCTTCGAAAGATAATAAGCTCGTACAATTCTCTTTTAAGGTTACGGTGCACAGAATAATTACGACCAAGAAAGAACAAATGAAATACAAATTAGCCTCTGATGACAAGTGTCCTTTCTGCCTCAATCCAGATTCAATTAAACACACCTCTATATATTGTCAAAAGTCAAAGGAATTCTTTTCCAAAACTTTAGGGTGGTTTAAAGAATACCATAAAGAGAACGTACAACCTTCAAACAAACAAATTTTATTTAACACGTTCGAAGACTCCAGTTCCATTGCAAACGCCAAATTCAACTCTACTTTGCAAAATAAATACTTGTATACTTGCAAAAGCATCACAAAGAAACGTAATCTAGATGAATTGTTACGTACTAAGCTTTTAGAACAATATCGCATTGAAAATTGTGGCAAACCATATCAGATACTGGTGTGGCAACTAACAGGCTTTTATCCTCCAATATTTTTCATTATAATTGTTATTGTTTATTTGTTTATTTTATTTTTTGTGTAAAGGCTGTAATTAGTTTTGTTATTTATTTATTTGTTTTTTACTATGTGCTGTATATTAATGTTGTTATTTTGTTGTCAATAAAATAGTTTGTTTTTAAACAAACAATAGCTCGTGAACGGTCAGAAACACAATTTTTCTCGGGTAGACTTTAAAATGGTCCTGCTCAATTTTACATCGAAAGTGGTTCTTTCATCATTTGTTAGGAAAGTAGAAATCAATGTTCCCTTGCATACACAATCTTGGAGAAGGAACCGGACAATCTAAATAGGAAATACATTATAAGTGACACAGAAGAAGACACTCATTATGGTTAGGCCGGAGTAAGTCCGAAAGAACGGTAACGAATCAACATATAAATACGTATAACGTTTCACACAAAGACAGTTCTTCCTTGGTTTTTGGCGCATAAAATTGTGTAAGAGATCTTAGGAATTGGGCTTACCTCTTGATTTCCCTTCAGGAGCTGTAATAGCTGCCTGTTAGCGGGGAACGATGACTATGACTATAAAAAGGTTGCTTATTACATTGCCTTAAGTTCTGTAACCCTTTCCAGTAACATTTTATTTTCCTTTTCTACCCAGGAGTACCAAATTGCTCAGATCCTTGCTTAATTTACAGTGCGACTTCTGAAATTAACGCCCTCGAGCTGAGTACTTCCAGAATAGTTCATCTAGTGTCAAACCTCAGCCGAGCAGTCGCTCTCGATGTACACGTTAAGCAGAAAACCATCTACTGGAGCGACATTAACCGACATGTCATCCAACGGATGGACCTTGAAACTGGAGAAACTGACAATATCATTACAGACGACCTCGGTGTAGTTGACGGTCTTGCCGTAGAATGGGAAAGCAATTTGATATTCTGGACAGACTACAGTAAACACAGAGTGGAAGTAGCCTCATTGGATGGTTCTCGAAGAAAGGTGCTGTTTACAGAGGAAGTAGAGTATCCACGAGGAATAGCGTTGTATCCAAAGAAAGGGTAAGCAATTTAACTTAGTGATGTGACACACAAATCTAGTTGCAATGTGGACCGATGTTTAGTACCTCTTCACGGTTTACCTGCTTGAGCCCATCGAAAACAGACCACATTTCGCGACGCCAACAACAGTTACTCCTCAAAATGACGTCAGAGGAACGACTGCAGAAATTCTATACTGATGACGTGTCACTACCCAGATCTAGGTAGTGCTTGTGCTTGGTTGAAGCGAATTTTCCTAGCGGCTCGACGAATCAGAAGCTTTACCCTGATCTGAGTACTGACGATCATCAGTGTTTAATTTCTCCGCTCGCTCCTCAAAGGTCATTTTGCAGGGAAACCAGATGGCGTTGCAAAATGTAGTAAATATTTTAACCCCATTATTTATGAACAAGCCGAAAACTTTACGACATTTTAATCCTTCTTTGTCCAAATAGTCATCAGGTATTGTTTTGAGTAAGGTATTAGATAATGATATGCCTTGCTTAGACATTAACGTAACACTGGAACAATTAGAGAGCAAACGAAGCCTGAGTATGGACGAAATGATGAGAATCGTACACTTACAACCTTTTTAACGGGTGCATTTTGTGAGTAAGTAATATAAATGTAAACTTCACTAAGAAAGCAGCCCATGGGGATAACGACCTTACAAAATGAACGGGGATGCCCGTTGTCTCGCTTGGGGGTAGACATGGTCTCTTTCTGGGTGTTCAAAAAGGAAAAAGCAATATTTTTGTCTATATCACTGAGGGTTTTTCGTATGGAAATATCTATTTAACAGACAAACTTCGCCATACTGTGTTGGAGTATGTATAATCTAGAGATCTAATGAAGCCTGGGGCGTAACCTTCAGATTAGTTTCCTGTAGCTGATTTTTCTACCCTATGAATAGAAAAAGAAATTGAAAAAATGGGATACAACGGTCAAGTTACTCGCTTTCAGGTTGATGTTTTGGACAGACTGGGGGTCTACACCCAAAATTGAGAGAGCAACTCTTGCCGGCACGAATCGAACACTCCTTATTAACTTAACAAGCTCCGTTCAAAACTGGCCAAATGCCATAATTTTGGATTATTTGGAAGACCGTATCTACTGGATTGACGCATGGGTTGATGCCATTGATTCTGCTGATTTGGATGGCAACAACAGACGATCGATATCAAGTCCGGTACATCCCTCCAGAGATATGCATCCCTTCGACTTCACTGTCTATGATGATGTCTTGTATTGGAGCGACTGGAATACTGACTCTATTGAGAGACTTAACTGGACAACTGCGGCTTATCTTGGAGGGTTTGGTATTTTAACATCAGACCGAGTTTTTGGGTTAGCATTATTACACTCCTCGCGACAACCAGACTCGGCAGGTAACTATAACTTTTTCATTCCCAAGTTGACTTGCGTTACGGCAGTACAACAAAGTATCTCCTGACCAACGTAATGATAGCCTCCCACGCAGACGTTCTTAGAGGCTCGTCAAGAGTTCCTGCCCCACGAACGTCTGCTGAACTGAAAGATAAATTCCTTTCCCATTGTTCCCAAATGTCGGCTGGAGGTCACATGCAGATTATCGGAGATCCAATCGGCGCTGTTGAAGTCAAAGTGTTGACAAGCCAAACACATACGCACAAGCTCTGTAGAGCGTGATAAGTGACCACAGATTTTTACTCCTGACGAGAACATAGGAGATAAGCGTTGGCTCTTTGTATATTTCTCTCTGTAAAGGCTGGATTAGATGTCCTTTGCTCATAGAGTTGTTCTTTGGATGATGCAACGGCGGGGTTACCTTGTAAGACTGAACAAAAGGTAGAATTTTTTTCACAAGTTATTGTTTTGTAGTAAAGCCGACTTCCGTTCAGCAAATTTAACCTTCAAAGTAATTTTTTTCAACGAGATTCTGAGGGTAGCCACTAGTACGAACGCTTGTGAGTTAACTGAGTAGTTTGTTCTAAAACGGTAAGGTCTTCACCTTTCATGAGACCTTTCTGGTCTTTTCTGGAGCCATAAAGTCAAGCGCGAAATTTTTCAAGGTCCAAAGTACACTTCCTAGATCTGGAAGTCTGCTGCGCTTGGTCTACGCTTTTTTCCGCTCAAGTCAGCGGACGTTCGTGGAGCAGGAACGCTTGACGAACCCCTAAGAGCGTCTGCGTGGGAGTCAAGTGAAATGATCGCTTAAAAGATTGCTAATGAGCCGAAAGTATACCAAATCTACGAAACAACCACCAAGGTCAATTATACCGTAGAAAAATATCTCTGCAACAGCGTTAAGTTGAAGCCGTGGGTAGCCTTTTTATTCTCGTTAGAACTTTTCACTAAGGGAAGGAAAAATGCCACGAGTACCATAAAATTACATAAAAATTGTTGAACAGACGCTCAGCGATTGCATCTTATCACGTGTTATGAAAGTAATTATTTTGACGTGGAGTTGTCCACGTTTGTCCCCAAGTTTGGTTACTACCATGGCCATCCTACTGACTTCACGAGGCGTTAAGGTGTTTCGGTGGGTGTGTATCCAATTTAATTTTAGGCCATATAAAAGATTGTGTGAGAGACTGAATCTTATTCTCATATTCACCTTGCTATATGCCGGACGGATAAATCCTAATAATAACGAAACGTTTACCCATGGTTGCAGCAACCTCTGTGGGAGTTTTATCGCTACCATTTTGTTGTCTTGTAAAGTCACCTCTTCCACGTTGTGACGGACAGCCTTGTTGTTTTTATAACAGAGCTCCACGTGCGCGCGTGGGCGGGTCCCCATAGCTAAGTAAATCTACCCATCCCAGAAAATTTGGTAATCATGTGACCGTACACCGACCGTCCGTCCTCATCACAGGGAAACCAATATTTTATCTTGCACTTTTTAGCGAGTTTGGGAGCTCTGGTGCAACCTGATGTTGCACATCACTGCACATCATTTCACATCCATGTTGTGATCAATTGACAGCTGTAAAAACAGGGTATCCGCTGACCAGTATCATCTCCCGCATCGCGGGCTCAGGTATCGACCCATTGAGGTCGAGTATTTTTTGAAGTTATCCGCTGACAAGTTACTTGTTTTCAAATGATCGAAGGCTCAAGTTCATTTTTTTACAAATTCATATGAAATATGTTGTGTTTGAAATATGTCACTATGGCCCCGCACTATTAAGATTTTGATTTCAAACTGACCTCGGACGCGAAAATTCAGCCAGTTATTTAAAAATACAGGCGGGGAAGACCTTTCTTACGATGGTCACGCTCTACGTCCAATTTTTATTCTCTGTTTGCTCAAAATTAGACAGGTGAGTTCATGTGGAAAATTTATGCAACATCTTGAACCTTGTTTACTTTGACAGCTGAAGCTGACAGAGTTTTATGTCAACTTGTGATGTTTTAAACTGTCTTTTTCCAATGGATGTACAAAATGAAATACAGCTGCTATCAAGAGTCTTTTGTTATTCATGACTGGTTTGTTATTGGGTTTTGGTTGTGAAATGCGTCGCTTGTCAAAGTCGGAAATCCGAGAGAGTTTTAAAGTCTCAAGCGATTTTGGCCTCACTTGATAGCTTTCAGGAGCTGCGTCTCGAATTGTAGGCCTGAGTTATTATTGTATTTGATGTTTGTTTTTTTGTGTATATATATATATAATTTTATGAAGCCGAGCACAGTTTAGTTTATGTGGCAAGTTTATGCACGTTTGTAAGATTTGAGACAATGATCTGACCTAATATCAGATTTGATATAAGGTTACGGAACTTTAAAAAGCCTTAAGATATATTTTCTCACCGCAAATAGAAAGAAAACATTCCGAAGAATATTTAGTTATAGATTTGGCTATAGAAAGAAAACTTTGAGCGATTTTCTTACCTCGAGTTCCTCTTTGAAAAAAAGCAAACCCCGGGAGGCCCGGCTTAAAACATAAACTTAAGCTTTAAGCTTAATTAGAGATACCTTAATACTTGTGTTCGTGAATGAAAATTGTTGTCTCTGTAAATTTTTTACCGAATTATATTTCTTTAATTGCTTGTTAGTGGTCTCTCGTGCAATTTTAATCGCTGTGCCGTTTGTTTTCAGTCGTTCATAAACAGCGCTTGCAGGAGCACTCAAAATACCGCGCGTATCAAACGCTTTTTAAGATTACACATTATTATAAAACTATTAAATAAAAAAGTAAAGAATATAATTTTTTTAGTATGTTGAAGTGTAACTCCAGTAATGTTCATTCAAACACAGCAATCAAAAGTGAGGACCGACTGGGCCTTTTTTTGTTTTTTTTTTCTATAGGTGAGTTTGGAAATTTTTTGAACGGTTTCCCTTAAAGCCCACGATTAATCGTCCTCAATATTGACTAAGTGCAATTTGTCAAATACTGCATTCTATTCGAGGTCTGTATGATAAATAGTACTGTTTCACCTCAAATATGATGTATAAAAAGTATAAAAGGTTGGTTTACACACCCTCAGGTTTTTTGGCAAGATTTTGTAAAGTGAACTTGTGGAACGCAAAAAAATTCGACCTGATTTGTTTTCCAAGAAGTTTTTTTCCAGGCCTAATCTACTGTGATCAAGAGCCATTATGGCTCTTGAATGTGATCGCAGATGATTAAGATTTTTTGAGTGTACATATAAGACTATCAACTCGCTGTAAGCCGTTTCACTCTAAGATCACTTAGCCTTTCGCTCAAAAGTCACATGAATGTGCCGTTAAGTTAATTGATGTGTGGATTACAAGTTTATCGTTTGATTTACATTATAAATTTATTAATGGAAGCTTCGCTTTTAGCCCTGGCTAAATCTATATTTTATACATGCATAACAACAGTTTTTTTTCGGCAAGAAAAAGTAGCTATTATAAAAACTAAGAGTGCAACTATTGCTCTTTTCTCTTCTACTCCTTTCCTTCTCGTCATTCTTTCTTCTTCTCCTTTCCTTTTCCTTCGTTACTGTGATTTTGGAGCTTCTCGGGCTTAAGAAATTTTTTGGCGCCTTTTCACTCAGATAACTGCAAATTTTGTTAGGTTGGTGTTCAAAAAATCGGTTAGATATATATATATCGTAGAAGCATCTTAATAATGAACTCTTATTTATAAGTGGTTATAGTATCAACTACGTTTATGCCCAAAACAATTATGTTGCAACTATAAAAATCACAACATATCAATTAATTGTTTCAAGAGTGGCTTTAATTTATTACTGATATCATTACCGAATTTACTCTTTATGTCTTTGTTTATAGTTTATCTTAAACATGTCCCTTCGTTATTTATTGCGAACTTTTCGCCACTCACTACATCTGAATCATGGTATCGACTGTTCATATGGCATTAGCTTTTCTACCCTTGATTTGGGATATTGGCAAAAAGTACGTCACAATCCCGTTTGTTTGTGAACAAAAGAAAACACGAACATATTTTAAATAGCTTCGTGTTCGCTTGTTTGTTTGCTTTTTTTCAATTTGATTTCTATTGACACCACGAACTTTATATCTTCATAAACACGAATCCTTGGTTTTGCAGACTTTGAATATTAGTGTTGTTATGAATATTGATCATGATCATGACCGCGAGGGTCAAATATGTATTTTATCTGAAACTTTTCTATCATATATGTCAGGTAACCTGTTATGCAAAGTGAACAACGGTGGCTGCAGTCATCTATGCCTTTTGACGCCTGACGGATATCAGTGTGCTTGTCCTGACGGCTTGCCTCTGCAACCAGATGAGAAGAAGTGTTTGACAGGTAATAAACAGATCAATAACTAACCCAAATGGAATAATAAATGTCCTTTGTGTCTTAGCTTTTTCCATAATTGTTTTGTTCTACCTTGTAACAAAAAGTATGTTGGTGTTTTCTTCTTTTCAGAATTCTCAAGTTTTCTTCTTTTTGTTGAGGGACATAACATCAGACAAATGCAACTGCATTTTAATTCCAGTACAACATATAGAATTCCACTGAAAACACCTCCTTTAACACCTGTAGCTCTAGACTATAATTTTCAGGACAAAAAAGTCTACTGGACTGATGTGTCACTCAACACAATATCCAGATCGTTTTTGAACGGATCCGCTCAGGAAATTGTTGTGTCCTCTCGCATTGAGAACCCTTATGGACTTGCTGTTGACCCGTTTGGTCAGAATATATATTGGACAGACAGTGCAGAAGTTACTATTGAGGCTGCAACGTTGAACGGCTTGTACAGACGCATAATCATTAACAAGGATTTGCAAAGTCCAACGGATATTGCCTTGGATGTCACTAGAGGGTATGATTGATATAGGCGTATGTTCGCCAAGTTTCTTCTCCGATTGCTTTCCTAGTATAATTTAACCTTTTAGTTGCGCATAAACTCATAATTTAGCTTTAATCAACTATGGGGTAGCCTGAATCTCCTGGCCTTTATACTTAATCGTTAATTTCCTCGAGTAAATCAGCCCAATCAGGACTTTCTGTTTCAGCGATAATGCAAAATACGATAAAATCTACGCGTTCGTCCCTTTTCCTCCCTTCGCTCCAAGCTCTCCCCTCATCAAGATTTTGTTTCTAAATAAGTTCAAGCAACCAATGATTTTTTCTCTGTTTTTTGGTTTCTCTACATTCGACTCGTGATTACTAGTAATACAATCACGATTGAAAATTCACGCCTTATTCGTTACAACATCTACCGGAAAAAGTGAAGAGTCAATCAGCTCTTGGTATTTATGTAAGATAGCCATCACTAAACGTACATAGTGCAAATTACAGTGCTACCGTTATACGTTTTAAATAATGAAATTCTCTAACAAATTCTGTTCTTGCACATTCATCAAAATAACCACAAGCTAACCACACAGCGGCTTCATCTTTCATTCGGCAGTTTACTACCATTTTTTCACACTCGATACCTACTTCGTTCCATTTTCATTTTTACAAAATTCTTAGTGAGCTTCTCTTTTTGCTCGGCAGATTCATGTATTGGACTGACTGGGGAATTGACAAAAGAATAGAGAAAGCAGATATGGACGGTCAAAACAGAGTCACTGTTATCGACTCAGGACTGTACTATCCCAATGGGCTTGCTCTTGACATTGATAGAAACTGGCTTTACTGGATAGATGCAAGTTATGAGAGGCTCGAGGTTTACGAGTTTCCAACTAACACTCGAAGACAAGTTATCTCAAGTCATGTCTACCTGCGTTACCCGTTTGGACTGGCACTACATCAGAATCATCTCTACTGGACAAGCCAGTATTATAATGGAATATACCGCGCAGATCGACAAAATGGGGAAAACGTCGTTAAAATACTGTCCACCGAATCTCAACCGCTGCTTATTCATGCCTATGATGTCAATAATACGTTTTTACCAGGTATTTAAACGAAAAATCTCAGTCACAGTTGCATTGCATTGAAAAAGAGAAACTCTTTGTTGGAGTTACACAAAACGTCACTGATTATCACTTAACCTAAAAAAGAATTCAAATACACCTGTCTGCAATTCGACGAGAGAAGTTCTTCCAGTGCCTGCATCCATGGGAAATCTCGTCTTCAATATGATTTTAAACGTTCAATTTATCTGTGTTGCCACGGACGGCCTTGGGAAGATTCAAGCATGTGCTGGGTTGTAAATCTTGGCATATCATCTTAAACTCTTAGTTGTAAAGACACAAGATGTTCTTGATTTGCATCTGACGGACAGGTCATTTTTTATCTCTTGTTATCCCTACGAATGGCGGGCTGTAGCATATCTTCTATATCAAGTCACAAACTATGAGAAACAAAGAAGCTTTTTTTTCTTTTCAGTTACTGATGAATGTAGAAACAACAATGGAGGATGTAGCCAGCTTTGCTTGCTAACACCATTTGGGGCAAAGTGTTCATGTTCAGATGGGCTTAATCTCGCCGTCGACGGGAAGACTTGTGAAGGTACTTAATGCTGTATTGCAGAAATGACACGTTTATTGCATACCATAATAAGACATTATAAGAAGAGATCATGGAAAATCTTACACAAAAAATTTGTATGGAAAAGCACAACGGTGTCCACCATTTTGTTCGTTGGCCAATTTTTCCCTTTGCCTTAAACTCCTCATGAATAGATATAAAAATTAAATCAAGGTGGAAAATCAATCGAAACGTTTAAATTGGAGTGATTCATTTACAATAAGGAGAATCCTGAGTTCTGATTATCTACCCGAGCAGACAAGATTATCCGCTAGCTTCCGCTATGTCCCGCAAAAAGAGAGTTTGTTTTGGCAAATGTAAAGATCCATTATTGCTGAAGTTTGTTCGGTCGAGGTAGCTGTATAGTGACCTCGTATTTTTTTTGCGCCCTTATATGGACGTGCACTTCTTTTCGGTCTATAAAAACGCAAAAAAAAAAACTTGAAAAACAAAAACTATCCAGCCTTTGTATCCTCGCGTTTGATAAATAAGCCGACATTGCATGTTAAGTTTGCTTACAAAGAGAACTATATTAAAAGATGTAGTTGCCAATAGTCGTTTCATTTATTGATTACAACCTTCGTTATTACTTTTAGCACCTCAGCAGTTTCTGTTGTTTGCTGATGCTACATATGGTAGAATAGTGAAAGTACTTCCTCATGATCCCCAACAGCGTGTACAACTACCTTTATCAGCAAGCATAATTACCCGACCCGTTGCCCTTGGTTACGATCTCGTACAGGACAGAGTGTACTGGACAGATGTCACAAGGAATACGATCTCTCGTTCATTTCTGAATGGGTCTATGCAGGAAGTCCTTTTTGACCAAAACGTGCAAACACCAGATGGACTGGCAGTAGACATTGTCGGAAGGAACCTGTACTGGACTGATACGGGCACCAATAAGCTGGAAGTTTCTAAACTGGATGGGTCCTACCGTAAAGCCCTCATAACAACCGGGTTAGATGAACCTAGAGACATCATATTGGATATTAGTAAAGGGTAAGAATTAAATGACGTCCGTACGCATGTATAATAGAGAGCTTTAGCAACAGCGACGGCGACTGCAACAAGAACGTCAAACAAACACGTGCGACACACTTTTTTTGTACATTTCTTTGCCGTCGCTGCTACGACGGGAAAATGCCTAATTTGACGTTTTATGGAGTAAAAAAGCTAAGACAATTTTTTTTTCTCTTTCTAAACTTGAGTGGGGTGCCCAAGAAATCAACTCCATTGGAATTCGCCTACATTTGATATTTTCAGCAAATTGGAATAAACTCGACAAAGTTTGAAGGAAAACGCGAAGTCATTTTTAAAGTGACTTTTGCCGTCGTTGTCGTCGATGCTAAAGCTCTCTTAAATGCAATACAAAGATAATGACAGTTTTAACGTCTGCCTCCTTGCATAGATACGACTTAGCTCTGAGCTTTGCCTGCAGGCGTGAGGGGAGAATTCATTTTCAAATCCTTCAATCCTTCCTTAAGGATAACCCTCGCATTTATACTCCTTCTATGCCCAATTACGTGGTAAGGTGAACATAAACATAAAGTAATCCAGACTGACGTATTTCTTCGAAAGAGAAATGTATCTTGGTACCCTAAATTCACCTTCCAATCCAGTTTTTTTCTCAGTAAAAGGAGTTTTTATGAACTAAAATTCATTTCCCTTGGTTATACTTCTAACCATTACTAAATAACTTGATAACTAACAAAAACGAACTTGTGACAATGACTAATGTCCACCAAGATACGAAAACAGAGTTAATACAACAGTTCCTACAAAACACTAGGTAAACAATAACAACACAATATATTAAATGTACATCTAACTCTAACTTAAACTAAGTAATTAACACAAGTTACAATTTATGCAAGCAACGGAAAAAAAAAATGATCTGATTTTTAAAAAAAAACATTTTTAGGATTTATAAACCATTTTCAGTCAGTATTTTCAATGAAAAAAAAAGTCATTCTTTTCAAAGTAAAAGCAAGTAAGTCATTCATTTTCATATTTCGCCACAATCTTTCTTCAAAAATCCATGTATGCAGGTGCATGCATGTATTGTTTCCCCAGATAAACTTTACCAGTGATTAGCATACAGCTATTCCAGAAAACGTTGTCGGAAGGAAAGAAAAAAAGTTTAAGCCAAGACCGAAAGGTAATATGGGATTTTTAGCATGAACTGCTAAAGGTCCTATAGATAGTTTTTACCGTCACGCAACAAAAAATTAAATTGGAAACCGTCCTGTGGAAGAAGCCAAGAAAATGAAATGTTATAAAAGACTAATATATAAACAATTTGTTCAAGTCTCAGATCTTCGTGGCCCACAGTTTCTGAGTTATTTGCCGAAATGTTTCGCGCACCTTTGTATAGCTTTGTATGGAGACGCCATATTGGTTCACCGTTTTGGTGCACCAATATGACCGCCGGAAGTCAACAAAAACCTCTGGAGTTCACTTTTTCTATAAAAGGTCTTTCTTTTCACTCGAGAACTAGTATACGTACGCATAAATATATCCTCTAATACTTGAAGTGGTTATACTGCTACAAATCAAGAGGAGAGANTTGCCCATTTTAGGCCTCGCGAAGAAAAAAATTCGTTAAAAAAATATTATTCACTCGATCGTACTTAAACCAACGATTTTGTAACTAGGGCCCATAGGGCTTTATTCTGGCTGAGTTTGAGGCCAGGTCATTTTTTGACTATTTCCACGTCTAGTTGATATTTACGCGGAGTCGCTCTTAATTTGCACGTGCATCACCCTTTTTTGTCCGTGGCCGTTGTTGCCCTACGGCTTGAAATGTGTCATGTTTTATAGGGGAAGTGAACAGCAGACCACAATTTTCTTGTCCACGCATTCTCGCGTGCTGGTGTAGTGCAAAATATTACCTGCAGTAGACTTTGGCGAGCTTTAATTAATGCTTGAGTAGCAACCATTATTCGGAAAAAGGTTTGTTTATAACATTTTTTCGTCCACTTCGCTACTACGTTATACAAATTGATAAAATGTAAAATTTAATGTCATTTTTCCTTGCTAATTAGCTGAACAAAATTGCTTTCAAAGATGGGAATAAGCAAGAGTGCACTTCGACTGAAACGTAATTTTACCTTATGCTTTTTTAAAAACTAAAATGATAAGTATGGTTCAGTATAATTCAGTATAAATGACGAATAAAATCAGCGACCAGTTTAGTGGAGTGATTGTTTGCCAGCAAAAGAAGGATTTGAAACAACCCCCATTACCTTCTTCGGTCTTGGCGTGAAGACTTTTTGCTTTTCTCCCGACAACGTTTTTTGAAATAGCTGTATAAAAGTAAATGATGATTCGAAGGGCCTTCTGTGGTCCCTACTACTACGATAAAGTCATGAAATGATAGTTGAATTTTTTTCCTTTGAAAGTTGGTGCCAAAAATATTCAAACTCAGACAAGAGCCTCCTGACTCAGACCATAAACGCTTCGAAAACGGACCAAAATAGAAAAGATGATACAGCGACTCTGATTCACTATTCCCTGCTAGTGGAGGCCTCTTTTCCCTAGTATTCGGCTGCCCGTCGAATTCCAGGGAAAGAGGCCTCCGCTAGCAGTCAAGAGTTCACTACTAGAGCAGAGAAGGAACAGAGTTTGCTTGTTCCGTAGACTATTCGGTATAGCTTGGAGTTGGTATAAGGGATGCCATTGAGAACTTTAAGTATTCCGCCGTGACAAGTATACGATTGTTGAAATGATGAATATTACATGAATTTTATAAAATAAAAACGCAAATAATGAAATTAATTAATTAAATGCAAATAGGATCATCGCAGTCATGTGCGTATGTATTTAATTGAGATGGTCTTCTTTGGCCAGTCCACTATATGACATAAATATATTCATCATTTCATCTTTATTTTCTGGGGCATATGATGAGCTAGATTTAAAGACCACCTCCCAGTTGACTTGCTAACTCCACTGGTTAGAGCGCTGCGAGGTATCGCTGAGGTCAGGTTTCGACTGACGGCAAGCCCGATGTTTTTTGAAGCTGCATAGTTACGTCTTTAACTGCGATAATTATTTTTTGCATTTATCTATACGAAAATGTTTTTGTTGGTGTTTTCATAGAATCATGTACTGGACAGACTGGGGTTCCAATCCAAAAATAGAGAAAGCTAATATGGCTGGTAAAGAGCGCAGTGTATTGGTAGATTCCGTATTGCATTGGCCCAACGGCCTAACACTTGATAAAGACACCAATAGATTGTACTGGGTGGACGGAAGTTATCACAAACTTGAATACTTGGATCTCGATAATAACAACAGGGTAACCTTGCTGATTTCATCAAGTGTGTTGCCACACCCCTTTGGTCTTACACTGCTGGGAGATCATGTTTATTGGACTGATTGGAGCACAAACGCTGTTTATCGAGCGAATAAAGAAAGCATTGGTCTTATCTCAGCTTTTATCACTGGCATAGGACAGCCCATGGACATACATGGATATAACGTTAGTGCACCCATAGTACCAGGTAATGAGCACAACTTTATTAAAAGAAAACCTGTCACTGTTTTTTTTTTCTTTTTCTTTTTTTACTCTAGACACAATAACCTACATCAGTGATTAGACAGATAAATCACATTTTGTAATAATATTTTTGGGCGCATGAATGTATTTTTAAACGAAACTTATATTCTCCAGTAACCAAACACTCAAAATTTCAAGGCTAAAATCTCTTTATATTTAGATATTCTTAATATCACCATTGCAAACCACAACGCCATAATAATTATCAGTGAAATTTTTCAGTTACTGAAGACTGTAATAATAACAATGGTGGATGTGATCAACTTTGTCTGCTTACACCATCTGGAAGAGAGTGCGCATGCTCAGGTGGATCAGCTCTCAATGACGATGGAGAAACGTGTCAAGGTAGATAAATATACTCCTAATTATAGTTAGCCTAGTTTCCCCGCAAAATAACGTCTAAGAAACGAGCGAACGAATTCCATACTTATGACGCATCACTAACAA